AGTGTGAAACACTGAAGATTATTTTGCAAGATATGGGATACATTTTTCTAATAGAGATAAAATCTTACTGTTGCTACTGCTTGCATAATCCTTCAGTAAAGACTTTGGAAAGATCTTTCTTTTGGCTCTTTATGACTGATAGTTTGTAGAAGGACTTTTTCTATATTCTTCTGCATTTAACAAACAACTTTTGACAGAACAAGAAAGTTATTGTTTAAATTACAGTCAAAATTCTCATTTTTTATTTAACTTCCCAACCTTCACTCTTTGCAAAATGAAAGCAGCATCATATGAGTTTGCGGATTTTCTGCTGAAAATAATTTTAGTGCTATACCTGGTCATAGCCATAAAGAGGAAGCATAAAGAGGAACAACCCACCTCTTTGGATCTTGAAGCGACAGCAACTATCCCTCTACTGTTGGTAAGATGAAATGTAAAAAGAACAGGAAATTTGAACACGGTCTTTTTCAGGATATTTCCCACCCAATTCTAATACATTGTGATTCTGGAGCTCTTGCTTACTCTCTTAGGTTGACAACACAGATCTTTCACAAAGAAGGAGTAAAATCGGTGATTTTACTTCTGAGATTCATTCATTTTCTAATATAGCTAGGTTTTTGCCAGTGCAGTGCCTGACATAAGGCTGTAGTTTAGTTCAAAATGCTATTGTCTGCTCCTACGTTTTGTGGATATTTTAAATTTTATTCCTGAATTTATTTCTACTGTATGTCTTACTTGACATGTTTCCTGTCCATAGATTAATAAGAAATGCAGGAGACTCTGCATGGATTCACAAGAGAAAATCTTGGATAGAATCCTCTAGCAAATATTGCCAAAGTCAAAAGAAGACTCACAGCAATGAAGTAATTAATTCCTTCTCTTGCCATGGAACAGTAATTAAACATAAATGGATAAAAGCATTAGCTAGAAAAGTAGAATTGCTTCATTTTGCATTTTTTTTCAACATTTGTCAACTACAGATAATGCATTCTTTTGAGATTTAGTATGTGCTTCTAACAATTAATTGAACCTGTGGGAATTTTTTTTTCAAATGTGAAAGAGAGGGCACAGTCACATAGGAAAAAATGCTGATCCAGATTTGTGGTGGTTTTGGCTGAGGTAATTTTCCTCATAGTAGCTGGTATGCGGCTGTGTTTTGAAATTGTGCTGGAAACAATGTTGATAACACAGGGATATTTTAATTACTGGTGGGCAGGGCTTACACAGTGTCAAGACCTTTCCTTCCTCTCATCCTGCACCACCAGCATTTGGACTGAGGGTGCACAAGGAGTTCAGAGGGGACACAACCAGGACAGCTGAGCCCAGCTGACCCAAGGGATGTCCCAGACCATATAGTGTCATGCTCAGCATATAAAGCTGGGTGCAGGAAAAGGAGGGGGGGATGTTTAGAGTGATGGTGCTTGTCTTCTCAAGTAATTGTTGCACAGGATGGAGCCCAGCTTTCCTGGGAATGGCTGAACACTTGCTTGCCAGCCCATGGGAAGTGGTGAATGAGTTCCCTGGTTTGCTTATGTGCCCAGCTTTTGTTTTACCTATTAAATTGTCTTTATCTCAACTTGTCAGTTTTCTCACTTTTACCCTTCTGGTTTTCTGCCCCATACCACTGGGGTTCCAGGGGGGAAATGAGCAAGAAACTGTGTGGGGCTCAGTCGCCAGATGGGAATAAACCATGACTTAAACCATAAAGAGGCATAAAGAAAGCCACATCATAGAAAGTCTTACATGCATATGCAACCCGTTGACTTCCATATACTTCTCCTTATACATTATGGCCTCTGGTGGTCTAGTGGTTAGAGTGTCTGACTCTCACCGCTGCGACCCGGGTTCGATTCCCGGCCCCCTGGGCAGGTGGAGCTCGTCAGCCGTGGAAGGCAATCCACCTAAGAGAAGGTCACTCTAAACAAACCTACATCCTGGGGACCTCACTGCCACTGTCCAAGCTTTGCTCTGCCCCGGCAGATGAACCTCAGGACTAAAGGGTGGGCTCAGTTCAGCGCACGCTGTGTCTCACCTAAAAATCCACTGCGCAGGCTGGAAGGGTTAATGACCTTTCCCAAATCTTCGCTCGCGAAGACTGGCCATTATTATTATTATTATATACATTATGCAATGCATGTAAAAGGTGTTGCTAAAGGTATTAATATATCTTAAAGGTATAAAGATACCTTAATTTGTTTAATTTTTTCTGATCCTATAGTCAGTAAGTACACTCCTCTCTATTTTCATAGGTTCAGCGATTAAGCAGTTTTGATCCTGATAATCTTAGTAATGCTAAGTCACAGGAGATAGTGTGTAAATCTTCTGATATCAAATTTTAAAATGCAGTTTTTCTGAACTGCATACAGTATTTCAGACCACTAGTTTGAGTTTACCACTGGAACCTTAAGTACGACATGAATCCATAATCTGTATATCCAATATCCACAGTCCTACAACATCCAGAATAACTCAGGAGTCAAATCTGTATTGACCTGGGGTCATGATTAAAAATATTAAAATAAATCTGGCAAGTACTTTCATTTCTTTGAGTTAGAGAGTTTAAAAAAAAAAATATCCTATGGCATTAAAAACTTTTTACATGAAATTAAGTGGGTTTTCTCTTGGTGAGTATTTGTCTGCATTCAGCAACAGTAATACTAAACCAAGAATGTAAGTAAAGAGATGAGAGAAGGAATAGGCAAAATGTTACTTTCACTGATACTGGTTTTTTGCTTGACATAACATTTGCTGGTTATTTTGACTTTGTGCCCTCCAGCTGGAGATGATAACTAGATGGTGCTATCAGTTTTTCTGATGAGAAATTATAAATATAATTTTTCTACCTAAATATTTTCTCCTTTCCACTAGCTCTTTACTATCATACACCACTGGTAGACATTAATGAAATCAAGAAAATTATGAGGAATGATATTATATAGCAGAGTTTAAGATATGGTAACTCACTACAAGGCACTTAATTTTTTAAGAGAGGAGTAAATCCTTGTAAATAGATTTTTTTTTTATGGCATTACCCTATTGAGTTACCTCTAAAATATTTTTTAACCTTTCAGATTTATTTTTCCAGAGCCATTAAGATAACATGTAGTTTATGCATGCCTTATGGTTCCTTCATAACTGAAATGATAGGAAAGCTCTCCAGAGCATTATGGAAAGAGCAGGAGCTATGAGCAGATATAACCTTTGGGAACAGTCCATCTTATAAAGCTGTGAAGTTTGAGTTTATTCTGACCACTCTGTATCCATAGGATTGAGAAGGGTTGCTGACCTCCTGTCGGGTTTCCATCTAACTGTCAGCTTCCAAAAAGCTGTGCTTATGTCCCAATGAAAGCAGAGCTTTTCAGATTTTCTTCTCTTTTCCTCTGTAATAGAAACAATGAATAAATCAGGCCCATTAGTGTTGGGGAGCTTTTAGAAAGTAAACTTAGTAAGGAGAATTTATTTGAGCTGTTAGTTGCCAAATGACACCTGGAAAGTGTTAGTACATTGTCTATAATGTATAATGTAAGTACCTTGCAAATGAGGTCTTGTCTGTTTATGATGAACACTACAGATTTTGAAAAAAAATATGGGGTTGTTATTTCTACAGTGTTCTCTGATATAACTGAGTGGGATGATGAACACGTTCCTCATAAACACAATGGATTTTTTTGGCCAGAGATGCATACACTAATGTGATCATTTCCTCACATTAATCTGTCATGGACAGAGTTTCAAGGACTGAATTGCCCCAAAGGACCATTTAAGACCATTCCTGAAACCTGCTCTTAGAAGCTTTCTACATTACCAATTTCTACCATGCCTGGGGGGAAATTTTCCTGTGGTTGACTGCCCTGTGCATGGTGCCTTCACAGCTCAAGCCCCAGAACAGCCTTACAGCACTCACACCACTCCCTACCTGTATACAGCCTCACTGCTGATGGGTCAGTCAAAACTGTTACTGCAGCTCAGTAACAAAACATCATTAACCATTTCTTTTGCACTAGCATATAAGGATAGTCACGCGCCTCAGCAGCCAAGGATAACCAATTAGACATGCATCAATGCACTGGACTTGGTAAACTGAAGGTACTATCTAAAACACTGTCACCAAAAAGACCTCATGAATGCAAGCTTTTAAATCTAAATATCTGGCTATGGTTTTGTTGTAGTAAGCGATATTATTCATACTGGTTTTAACTCAGGACATGGCTAAGAACACTACAGCAGTGAAAGCATATTCATTTGATTAATGGAAAAGCAATTTGGAAGTTAAAAATATGACAGATTTCTGGACATTAAAAAGAACAAATAATAATATTAAAAAACTCTGCTGTATTTGGCAACTGATTTCTGCCTCTGAGCCAGAAGCAATACTATCAAATTTTATCATGTACCACTGCAAACACTTCAGTATGTGGAGTCTTGAATGCTGGTGTCATTACTGACTTGTTACTTCTCCTTGCCATCATTTTGTTTATGGAAACAAAATTGTTTCTGTGACAACACCTCAGTCCAGATTTGGAGAATAACTAAGTGTTTTGGGACAAGAGAGCAGGGAAGATGTCTGTTGATCAATAAAAGACCAATTAAGAAATTTCTGCATATTTTTTCAGGGATGATTGAAAGCCTTAAGCTTTAGAGACTACTTTCATACATGGAACTACTTAATAACTATGGAAGTTGCCAAGACAAAGGTGATTTCAAAAGACCTTGACTGGCTGCCACCCAGCTGCTCTCTAACTTCTTCTCCTCTCCAGAACAGGAAAAGAAGATAAAATGGAAAGGTCATTGATTGAAATAAGGACAGGGAGATCACTCACGAGTTAGCATTATGGGCAAAACAAACTCTACTTGGAGAAGATTGATTTAATTTATTGCCAACTAATAGCAGAGTAGGGATGGGGGATAAGGTATGGATATTGTGGTCGGTATGTAACACTTGTCTCTGCTGTTCCTTCCTGCTCATGCTCTTCCCCTGTTCCAGAATGCACACAGCGCACACTTTCCACAATGCACAGTCCTTTAGGGATGAACTGCTTCAGTGTGAGTCCACCATGGATCACAGCTCCTGCCAGCAAACCTCGTCCTGTGTGGACACTCTCCACAGGCTGCAGTTCCTGCTGCATCTTCCATTGGCTTCAGCTTCCGTCAGGGACATGTCTGCAGTAGCACAGGATTGTCCAGGGGCTGCAAGAGGATTTCTGCTCCACCGTGGACCTCCACGGACTCCAGGGGCACAGCTGCCTCATCATGGTCTGCACATGAGTGCAGGGGAATCTCTGCTCCACTGCCTGGAACACCTTCTCTCTTTCCTTCATAGACCTCAGCATTCCACAGGGCTGTCTCTCTCACATATTCTCACTACTCTCTTCAGCTGCTGCACAGCTGGTTTTTTTTTCCACTCTTTCTTAAATCCATTATCAGAGAAGTGCCACCAGCATCACTGATGGGCTCAGCTTTGGCCAGTGGTGGGTCTGCTTTGGAACCGAGTGGAGCCACCTATGTGTTCAACACGGGGTCAGATCGTGATGTTTTCTCACAGAAGCCACCGCTGCAGTCCCTCTGCTACCACAACCTTATCACATAAATCCAAAATAACAGGATATCTGTGAGTCAGGGTCTAACCCAAAGGAAAATTTACACCTTATGCCTATCCAAATGCAATGATCAGGAATGTACAAGAATTGAAATTTGTTTTAAACAGCTTACAGGCTGCAGAGAGACATAACTGTGACTTGTAAAGGCAGGAAATCAACTAATAACACATTGTACAACAACCTGAACTGTCTTGCCAAGTAGCTTGGAAATATAAAGGAAAATAGACAAAAATTATACTAAATAAAAAACCACAATAAAATATAATTACTTTGAGAGGGTGCTCAGAGAGTTTTCTGAGGTCTCATCAAAATCAATTATAAGATATCCATGAACCTGCACAGAACACAGATTTGGACCTCCAAATGTACATCAGGCAAGGATATGGGACAAGGCACATGCTAAAAACACTCTGCAGAGTGTGATGGACCAGGATGGAATGAACTGCTAAATAGAACTCGTCTTACAGGCACGGGAAGTGCTGTGTGAAACTAGTACTCTTAAATTATGGTTTAGAACATTTTCTTGGAATAAATCTTTGAGTACAATAAGAGTACGCGTGGACTTTCATTTGAAGGAATACAATGCACTGCCTTTGTCTGTAACAATAATCTATATTGAGACTGAAGATGATAGGGTTTAGTCAGCTCTAGGCTGCATCTCCAACAGTATTTGATACTTTATGAGAGATAATCTCAACTAAATATAATTGTAATTAAAAGAAAAACAAAAAAAGAAAACAAACAAATAAGCCCCAAACAAAAAACAGAAAACATCCTGACACAACAAAAAGTCTTTTTGTAATGTTCTTGGTTTGCTCTGCACAATTCATCAGCCCCATGATGATCAATGAATCAAGGGAGGAAGAAAAAGGCAGCTTCCTTGACACCTGACTGGAACAACTAAGAGTTTGAGAAGAAAGTTTTGGACTTGTTTTACCTCCAAATTTATTTCCTCCTGAGTGATGTCTTTTCAAACTCAAAGCCTGACAGTTGGAAATGTTTATACTGACAACAGTAATTGTAATTTCTACTTTTCCTTATAAATAGTTTATGCCCTTTAATGGTTTGATGGCCTTCTTTAAGAAGTTTATTAATTAAACATAACGTTGTATTAGCCTGTGTATAAAGACTGATGGAATTAGAGTAATGTAAATAATTTACATTTTTTCAGAGTTCTGTAGTATCTTGCTGGAGGAAGTGAAGTAATTTGTACCTGGCAGGACTTTCAATTTGTGAGCCAGGATGACTCAGAGAGACTGAGAAAATAAACAGAAATGTTTGTTTCTCAACAAGAATTTCATATGAAATAGGAGTAGAGTACAAAGGTAATAAATTCTCCATTTAGAAAATATAACAACTATCAATGCAAGAAAATGCTTCAAAATGTGCAAAGTGAATTCAGCATACTGCTGAGTTCAGCATACTGCTGATCAAAGCACATTCTTTATGAAGGCGGCTGAAATGGAGAAAAACATAGACCTTGCCATAATATCTTTTCTGAGTTGCACCTGGAACAAAAGGCAGCTAGTGCACAGAGCACAGCAATAACTAACCTTTGACTGGAGGACATGAAGATGAGTGGTCCATAGTGATCCATGTAAGGTCTGACCTAAATAAGGGCTTTAACTGATAACAATATTTATCTAGTGCTGATATCAAATCTGAAGTAACAGAATTTTCTTAGACACTTTAATAATTTTCTGTTTATTAGAGGAATGGAGCACCTCTCCTATGAGGAAAGGTTAAGAGAATTGGGATTGTTCAACCTGGAAAAGAGAAGGCTACAGGGTAATGTAATTGTGGCTTTTTAGTACCTGAGGGAAACCTCCAAGAAAAATTAAGAGAGATTATTTATAAGAGCCTGTAGTGACAGAACAAGGGGGAATGGGTTCAAAATGAAAGAGAGTAGGTTTAGAATAAATATCAGGAAAAAACTTCTTTACTGTGAGGGTGTTGAGGCACTGGAACAGGTTGCCCAGAGAAGTTATGGATGCCCCATCCCTGGAAGTTTTCAAGACCAGGCTGAGTGGGGCTCTGAGCAACCTGATCTAGTGAAAGGTGTTCCTGCTTACAGCAGGGGAGTTGGAACCCGATCTTTAAGGTCCCTTCCAATCCAAACCATTCTATGATTCTATGATAATGACAGTACCATTTATACATTTTCCCTGAAGATGACCTAGGGTTTAACTCCTACATTTTGAAAGTAGGAAAGAATGGGAATAACATTTACACATACCAAATTTAAATTCTAAGTCTTTTAGCTACTTCTGAATCCAAGTTTCAGGAGTCCAAACCAAACATGAAATTGTTGTGCCAAGGTTGAGGACAACAAGAAACCTTCCTGCACACAATTTAATATGCATTTATGCTTTAAGATGCTGTGCTAATGCTTTACATTACTATTGAAGTGAGGTGATATGTCTATGGAAGGAACACTATTACATGCATGTTCTTTCATATCTCTGAAACACTCTGAGTAATGAAATTATAAATATTTCTTGATATTTCTGTTATTAAACATAATGAATAAAATCACAGGTAGCTTTATTTCAGGCATTTTTCCTGTTTTGTGCACTTGATTGTGGAAACATAAGGGTTCTTTTTCCCCCTTTTCCAGTTATCTTTTCTTTCTCTCTTTTATTCCTTTTTCTTTTTTTAATGCAACAAAGTTGTATTCTTTCCCTAAATCTCCAAGTGATAAAGCTCAAAGTAGAGATCTATTTATAAGAAAACTTATAAAACATCTATCTGTACTGATTTTCAGTGGGACTGGCATTTGTAGGTACAGCAGTTTGTCTTGCTTGAGTAGCAGCAGGCAGCTATCTGCATGCTTGGCAGTAAAAGGGAAATGGGAAAAGGTGAGGATCTGGAGTTTGATTCTAGATGAGGGAGAGGAGTGTTCTCTAATAAAGGAGGAACATTCTGCTCTATTCACCCCATTTGCCCTCAGCCTAGTCCTGGCACTGGCATTGACTCTCAGCTTCAGTTACCTTGTTTTGTGAGATTAGTACATTAGATAAGGCCAGGACTTAGGTCTAAGCACTGTCCTGGGACTGTCTATTCTGATTTACTGCTAGCATTCTATCTGGCATGGTTTTAGGCAGACATCAGACTGCCACAGACAACACCCACTTAGGGTTCAGGGAGCAGTAATTGGGCCAGGGATAATTCTGCAGGCACTCTGGATGAAGCCACTCTGTTGTGAATGAAAAGATGTCTATTCTGATCACATCATGCCCTACTGCTTTTCTTCTGGGCCAGAGAATAAACTGTGCATCTTTCCAAAGTGCAAAAGGCTTGTCTTTAAACCACTAAATTTATTCTGGTTTATTTTAGTCAGAATGGTTTAGGGAGCAATTACACATTCAACCGTCTATGGATCAGAGGGGATGGTAATACCTGGTGTGGGAGTTGTACCAAACAGCAATAACCCAATCGCCCAGTTGATAGCTCTCTTTCCAAAAGAATGACATGATTCCAAACAAAGAATATCTGTATGTAGACTAAATTCCAAGGTGAATCACATACACCTGAGGATTTTAGAGCTCTTAGAAGCCAATCCATAAATGGAGTATTGAAAGAGAAATTAAGTGGTGTTTTCTTACCACAGAAATTGTAACTTTGATCCTGTGGTCACTATAACACTAATATTAAAGAGAGAACTGAGCAGTCTGCATAGTCTACTATTCAGAGATTGTCCTTAATGGAGGTTGCCCTGAATGATGTCCTGTTAGGCAGGCCCCCTACCCACTGTTCTTGTCAAAGATTTATTTGTTAACATCCTTAAAGATGTCACTACATCTATTTATGGACATTGACAACTGTGTCTAAAGAGGAGGGACAACATACAAATCTACATTATTATTTTTATTCAATCTGTAATCTGTTCAAGCTAGTAATTTGCAAGCATATGAGTATCACTGACATTGGAGGGTCCCCAAAACATTTACTTTTGAACATTGATGTAAAACTAACTGCAAAGCCTTCACTGACTTAGATGGAACCAAACATATCTGTAAGCATTGAAGAATTTTTCCTTTTGCACCTTACTTTTAGTGTCTCCTTTCCATGAGAGGCTTGCTCTCATTGTCAGGAACTGAGAAGGAAAATGAAGGATTGAATACCCTTTTCCTCATATAATTTGCTTTGTGCATTTTGCCTCATTACTGCAAGAAGGCAGATAGTTAAAGGACCCAAATGATGTGTGTGTGTGCAGGTACAAACATGGGGGAACAGCAAGCATAAGATAGAGAATATTTCTGAATGCCAGAAAAATTAATGAGTCCAAAGGTCATACTAATAAAGTCAAGCAAAGTTAGATGTGTCAAAAAATCCTATAAAACTTTATTTTCATTAAACCTTTTCATGAGTATAATTGAAGACATTTAACTATCTAGTATAGCAAAAATTCATGCTCCTAAAAATAATTTGTTCTACAGATAATTACCACTTGGCTGAACCATTGTTTATGGCTGTTAGATAATTATTCAAGTGTACAGTTTTGGATACGTAAATATTTCATGCTTCCT